CTCTGCAATTCAACGGCTGATAAATTAGCAGAAAAATGAACAGGTTGTCAATAAATGCTGTGTATTTCTTATCCGGTAGGTTCTATCTTCAATGCAGCTATCAATCAACATTTTACCCTGTTAGTTTTTAGCTGTCTGAATTACTGTGGAGATGTAAGTTGTGTGAATTATTTAAAAATTCAAAATTGATGATATATATTCATGCTATGGAGACAGTAATTATTATTATTATATTATTGTTCCCTTGGGTTCCTAGTGGAACATAGGGCTTCAACTGCACGTCTCCACTTGCTTCTGTCTTCTGCTGTTCTTTTCACTTGCGTCCATGTTATTCCATACTGTTTCATCTCCTCCTCACACGATCTCCTCCATGTCACCCTTGGACGTCACACTCGCCGCTTCCCTTTCGGGTTCCACTCGAGGGCTTGACGCGCGATGTCACTCAACGGCCTCCTCAGCGAGTGTCCAATCCATCTCCACTTCCTCCTGCATATTTGTTGAGCGATTGGTTCCTGTTTCGTTTGTTCCCATAGCTTCTTGTTTGTGATTCTTTCTGGCCATCTAATCTTCAGTATGGAGCGAAGACAGTTGTTGATAAAGGTCTGCAACCTGTTGAAAATATTCTTGGTGACCCGCCAAGTTTCTGATCCGTAAAGCAAAATTGACTTGACGTTTGTATTGAAAATCCGAATTTTGTTGTTGATGGTGAGTGACGAAGATTTCCAGATTGGTTTCAGGTTGATGAATGTGTTTCTCGCCTTCCCGATTCTCGATTTGACATCCTCGTCCGTTCCTCCTGTGGTTGAGACAATGCTCCCCAGATAAGTGAAAGAAGTAACCTCTTTCAAATCCCTCCCGTTGATGGTGATTGGCACTGGATGTTGCTGCTGTTGTTGGTTGGTTATTTTCATAACCTCCATCTTGTCTATGTTCACCTGGAGTCCTGTCTTTGCTGCTTCTGGAGACAGTAATTACAAATATAAAATACTTAGTGGAAATTATGAACTCAGCTTATGTCTAAAATATGATGTTTTTAACAATGATTGGTCATCAACCGATTGGTTGGGTGATAATCTGATTACCCCCGATCTACTAGTTTGACCTATATAGTTGACCTCACTCACAGTCATTGCAGGGTATTTTGTAAATTATATTATTTTGTTTAATTGGGTCCACCGGGTCTTTTAGCCTACAGAGCTTGTCCTGCCTGAGTGAGTTTGTAGGTTTGAATGCCACCCTAATTCCTGCTTTATTAAGAATCCTACGTAGGGTCTCAGATGTCCCCTCCTTATATGGTATAACAGTAGATGACTTATATTCTCTCTTATTTATGTTATTACTACTAGTTTCACAATTATTTTTATTTTGCTTTTGGCCTTTTCCGATCTCCCTAATGAATTTTATAGGATAGTTATTTAACACCAACGCCTCTTCTATCTGTTTTATTTCATCATTTCGATCTCTTTTTTTGTGCTACTTAGTGCTACTGCTCGGTTTGTTAGACAAACTTAACTAAGCCTGCCTTAACAGTTAACGGATGAGATGAATTAAAGTCTAAATATCTATTAGGAATGCGTTGGTTTTTTATAAACGCCACTAGTGTGCAGTTTACCTTCTTCTATTCGTTTTATTTTACAATCTAACATCATAGCTAATTCTCCTTGTTCATTTTCTGATTCAAATGTGAATTTTATTCCCTTTACTAGTGAGTTTATATGTGTGAAGAAGCTAGAGATATATGTTCTGTTTTTAACATTGTGAGTGAAAGTGTCATCCACATATCTCCACCATATTTTTGGAGTAGGATTAAATGTTGTATTGAGGGAAATATTTTCCCAGCTGTCCATAAATACATCCGCTACGATATATATAGATATTTATGGTTGATATATATTCATATATTTATGGTTGGGTGATAGTCATTTCAACGAAGCGATATTACAAAGTCGGGCATTAGTGTTATGCACTATATCTGTGTATTGGCTGTATTTTCCGATGTGTGATCAAAACTTCTAATTTGAAGAACTAATTATTCAGAAGAAACATTGATCTGATCCAGAAAAGCTCATCAAGAAACACATCACCCAGAAAGTAGAAAAGGACTATTCTCTCTCTATCTGTAAATAGGAAGCCTTTATTTATACGATTGCAGTTCAAGGGTGACGTACCGAGTGAGAAAATCTATTCAAAGGAGTTTTAATGCTGGTAAACTACAAGTTTTATTTTCTTCACCACGACCGGTTGGGATTCCTCGATTGAAAGATGAAGTACCTAGACTAGGCTAGCCACTTCTAATTGTATCTACCAATTCAACTTCACTTTTGGTGGAGCGAGTTATACTGGCCATTGCTCTAGGAACTTGATTTCTCGTGCTCGCTCGGGAACACCTAGCAGTGTCGTTTGGCTAAATAAAAGTATGGTGAAAAAATTCAACCAACTGGTCCAAACCGGCCACAAAGCTAGCATCGAAGAATCCTTCTCCAGCATCTAGATGCCGGAGACTCCAAACAGCAGAAGCTATCGCGATACACCTACAAAAACCAGTGCTCTATGTGTAGAAGAAACAGGTCCAACTAGCTACTAATACTGCGACGGCGTTCCATTCATCCTACAAATTCATGAATTCTGTACTATTATTTTTCCTAATTTGTCTGTCCGATATTCGGAGTAGCTTTTGTTATGTTGATGCATATTATCACGCTTACAGATGCTCTCTATTGAACTGTGCTCTACTCACTGATTGATTCGATGTTATTTAAACAACATTAATGTTGTTAATAACCCTAATTCTTTCATTATTATGGGTGAATGGATGGATATATAACTGTAGAACCTGATGAAGAGCAGGTTATCAAAAATGGGAATATTCTTTGTTCAGAAATCAGTCTTTTCAAATTTCCAATTTATATTGTCTGTTTTCCCTGTTTCCTTACTTTTTAGGCATTTTTAGAAGAGTATTTCGGTGAGTTTTGTCAATAAACTTTGACTAACTGTACATATCGTTCATTCATTTCATATTGTTGTTATATTATTATTATTATTATTGTATCCTTTAATTCCTAGAGGAACATAGGGCTTCAGCCGTGCGTCTCCATTGCGTTCGGTTCTCTGCTAGAGTCTTCACCTGGCTCCAAGTCTGCCAACACGTTTTCATCTCCTCTTCACATGACCTCCTCCAAGTCACCCTTGCATTGACGACCAACTCGCCGCTTCCCTTTCGGGTTCCACTCGAGCAATGGCTTGTCTAGTGATGTCACTTGATGGTTTCCTCAGAGTATGGCCAACCAATCCATCTCCATTTCTTCCTGCCTATTTGCTTCGCAATTGGTTCCTGGTTGGTTCGGTGATCTTTTCTGGCCATCTGATCTTGAGTATTGAGCGAAGACAACTGTTGATGAAGGTCTGTAGTTTGTTTGAGATGCTCTTTATGACGCGCTAGCCAAGTCTCTGATCCGTATAGTAGCACTGACTACACATTGGCGTTGAAAATCCGGATCTTATTTTTGACGCTGAATGCTGTTGACCTCCACACAGATTTGAGAGTAGTGAAAGCTTGTCTTGCTTTTCCGATTCTTGCTTTGATATCCTCGTCAGTTCCATCCGCCTGTAGTTGAAACGATGCTTCCCAGGTAGGTAAAAGAGGTTGTTTCTTTCAGGTTCCTCCCATTTATGCTGTGATTGTTGTCTGTTGTTGTTGCTGTTGGTGGTGTTGCCCAGGAATCTTCATCACCTCTGTTTTCTCTATGTTCACCTGAAGGCCTGTCTTTGATGCTTCTTCTGCCAGCTTGTTGCTTTTCACTTTCATATCTTCCATTTTGTGGGAAACCAGACATACGTCATCATCGGTGAAGTCCAGATCCTTCAAGTTTTTTGTGTGAGTTCATTTTATGCCTGTTTCCTCATTTCCTGTTGTTTTTTGCATTATCCAATCTACTGCAATCAGGAAAATCATTGGCGATAGTAGGCAGCCTTGTCTTACTCCCGTCTTCACTTCGAACGATTTCGTAGGTTTCCCATTGTGGAGTACTTGGCATGCAGCATTGTCGTACAGCTGTTGGATGAGATGTATAATTGTCGGTGGCACCCATTTGTAGTAGCGAAGTAGTTGCCAAATCACCAGCCTGTTCCGGTCGAAGTTTTTCATCCAGGGCATGTTTGATTCTCTGCAGGATGATGTGGCTTAGTATTTTGCTTGGGATGGATAGGAGCATAATTCCGCACCAGTTCTTGCATTGACTTCGGTCTCCTTTCTTTGGAGTGTTGATTTGCAGGAATTCGATTTGATTGGTTTCAGGATTTCATCATGAACTGATATAGGTTAGGGAACCATTGAAAAACCACAAGGAAGCACTATATAGACACCTGCTTCGTCAGCCTAGTTTGGGACTGACTTTTCAGCAGTACGAACCTACAAACAAGGGGTCGAACCCAGGACATTCTGGTTGCAAGACTAGCGACCTCACAAACCACTAAGCCACTGGGCGCCAAATGAATGGCCACTTCATGAAATCCAACCTTTACCAATGGACTCATGATATAGTGTGACTGGCACTAGCCAATGTCACCGGTGGCGAGTATCTGACCTGACACACAACCTGCTGTACCCTTCTGGTCACTACTTCTCACCAGAAGCCAGGTAACTGCCAACCTGAATAGGGCCAGTCGCTAGTGAGCATCAGATCGATATTCACGTGTTGTTTAGCAAGGATTTGATTTGATTTGATTCGATATAGGATTCCATCATGAGCTGACATCAGTTAGACAAGCATTTGAAATCCTTGGAGTACTGAACAGCTGTTTCGTCAGTCTAGTTTGTGACTGATTCTTCAACACTACGTATCCGTTGGGGTTCATATGGAATTTGAAAATATTTTATTCGAATACTGAGTAAAATTGAAGCTTGTTATAACATAAGTAATGTTTCTTAACAAAACAAATGTTTTATTCACTCTCATACAGTGGAGAAATTCTGTCAAAAGACAATTAATCAAGCAATACCAATGGAATTGAATGAAGTGAATAGTGATCAAATTTATGGAATCATAAAAGATGCATGCTCTAATATACATAAAAACGATACAGAAATGGTAAGTTAATCAATCATTGTTATGAAGTGTCTAATAATTCGTCATGTCATATTCTAAGTCATCAAATATTCTGACTAATTTAGAATAAAATTTTAGCCATCAACTTTTAGTTAATATTTTACGATGTGATACGTTATCGTCTTATAATGAAGTAGTAATTCGAATTGGATTGCAGTGCTAATAAAATATCGAATCTGAGTTGTGTTTTCGTTCATTAGTGATTGATGATTAGCAGTGGAAACGAGGATCCCCATTTCGTCCTTTTTTGGCACTCATCATGCGGATATATTTGTAATCCATAGTGGGTGATGTTGTTCCTACAAGCTGTTGTGACCTCTGTAGATAATGCTTTATTTGAATAAAGCAGGAACAACAAAAGTGGTTTGTGCAGAATACAAGATGATACCATCCTTTGTTTATTTCGTTAGCTTCTCATCAGCTGCTTGCCTACAGCATAAAGACATTATTAAGCTTATGTACGGAAACAATTTTGAACATACTTACACAAAAAGTTCATTTTTAAACAAAAACTCAGCGTATGCATACAATGGTAATAACACTAATCACTTTATCCCAAACAACAATAATAATCAATCACAATGAAACTTTACGTAATCAAATGAAACAGAGGGTGAAAATATGCAGTTACTAGGAAGGGCAAGTTGAGACTGATGCTAACTGCTTCTTTCTCAACACATAAACTGGGTTTCAGGTGTTTGATAGAGATTACTTCGGCAAACATGAGGAGAATTGAACCCCTTTTGCCTATTGATAATTTTAAAGGATTTTGTGATTTCTAGCTGACGACCTGTATCAAGGAGATGCCTGGTAATGACACTAGTGCAAGCGTTTGTTTCACACTGGAGACGTAGACGTTTCGTTACATGTTGTTTAGAAAATCGGAGGTATGCGTGCCTTCTTTCTGTTCTTCCAATGTAACTGCTCCCACAAGGTATCTGTCAACTTTTGATTGAACCAAAGATCATGTTGTCTGATAGACAGGAACTAACTTAGCTAGCTGCAGAATAGGCTCGGACTAGTGAAATATTCAATCTTCTATTGACTATTCCTGCAATATTTTCACCTTTAAAATCTATCTGAAGACAGACTTTTATCGACTGTGATTTGTTTGGCATTACAGCCTTCACATCTTCCATACTTTTTAATAAACTTCTGAGGGTAACCATTATTTTTCAACATATTTCCGAGTATCAGAAATTCTTCCTCTAATCTCTCTGTAGAGCATATTCTCCTGCCTGACTCTATATAATAGATTCTTGACTAGTGCTTATTTTGACTGAATGTATTTTTGATGTTGTTGTGTTCTGTGAGCTTGCTGGATGGTTTACTTGCGAAGCTTTCATTGCCCAAATAACCAACATCTTCAGCGCATACTTCAATCGGTTGAAGTGAGCTTTTGGATTTCTCCACGAGTTTATTAGACATCTCTCCTGATGACCTTGAACGTGATTGACTGCTGTTGTCTGTCTTCACACCCTCTAGTCTACTCGTATTGACATTGATTGTTTCCTTAACCTGAAGTTTGACCCTTTGTGTGTGAGATTTCCTTCTAATCGATTAGTAAATTTGTATATGTCAGTGTGTCTATTGACCGACGATTAAATAAAATACCAGGCTTCTGAAAATTCTCTAGCATTCCTGATGTTTCCTTTGTTAAATATTTAAACGTTGTCGCAGTCGAAATGATGTCCTGGGTTGTCTGTATGCAGCAATTTGACGGAGTGGATATCATGTCTTTTGACATCCAGTTTGTGATCATGGATACGGGGACAAACGGGATGTCCACTTTGGCCAATGTAGTGTTTTTTGCAGTTGTTGCAACTTATTTTGGAGATAATATTGGTTTTGTCTTTTTTTTCCCGTTCGAGACTTGCAGGGATTTCTGAGATGTCCTTTATGTATAGTAAAGTGATCTTCTTTTGTCTTTCCTTGAGGACCTGTGATTCGGTAGGTTGGCTTAGGAGTAGATGTCATTTGAAGAATTTCCGAGGATTTCCATTCTTTTGAAAGACATCTATGAGATATCTTTCTTCAATTTTCCCTAAGGTTGGAGTACTGCAATGAGTCCTTGACCTCTTGAGCAATGTTTGAATTGATTTTCTGTAAACTTGTGTTTCTAATTTCCCTGTGTTTGTTCTCTTGAGTAAGCTGTCCACACATGGATTTTTATTCTCGGATTCTTCTTCTCATGTGAATTTGATGTCCTTGAAGATGTTATTTATTAGATAAGAAGTTTTATCTAACTCGTTTCTTTTGATTATCACGAATGTGTCAACCAAAGTAACTTATCCAAATTTTAGATTTGGTCTTCAGTAGGATTATGTTTTCAAGTCTTGTATCTCTTGTCAGTTACCGGCTATTTCATTCATGTATTCTATTTGCTTGTTTCCGTTTTCCCTTCAAGGATATATCAACGTGCATAAATCAAACAAAAGAATATCAAAGTAATTTCTCTTCCGAAGATTTTCTCAATTTAATCAAACATCGTTTTTGTAATGTAAGCATGAGTTACATTTTATCTATGGATGATTCTCTAAAGTATTGGAAAACAAGTATTGGATAAACAACATTTTTCAGACACTTCTTGGTGTCATAAGAAAAGGCGTAAACAGCGAAGGAAATTTTCTTTTCGACCATTCATTTTCATGAGCTGTACAATCGTAATTGTAACTAACAAAGAAATCTTTAGACCAATCAGATACTGGTAAATTTTGTCCTTGGAAAATTGTATTACATAATGTAAGGTGTAAGAAGGGATGACTAATTGTAAGTTAGAAAATGGGCAGAAGTTGGCATGATGTAATAAGAGTGAGATAATGATATCCTCGATCCTTTGGTAAGTCAACTGCACTTATACAGGAGATACTTAGATGATACGTTCATAATTTGTGATGAAAAATCTGATTTAGATTATCTCCTCAAAACCTTCAACGCAGCACACCAACCAATAAAATTCAACTTAGAACGTGAATCGAACAACTCATTTCCATTCATCGATGCACTACTTACCAGAAAACACGACTGTACGATCCAAAGATCGGTATATCGCAAGCCAACATGGATGGGACAGTTTATCAACTTTGCAGAGCTTTGTCCCACTGATATGAAAGCGAAACCTGGTACGTACATTAAGTTCAAGGATTAGAAAAATCTTTTCGGAAGACATGATTGAGAAAGAATTAAATTTATTACGCGAAACCCTACTAGAGCAGGGGTATCAACCAAGATTCATAGACGGAAACATGAAAGAGAAGCCTCTGCTGCCAAACATCGCTACTGTTCCTAAGAAAACTCTCTTCATGAACCTTGAATTTAAAGGTGACATTGAAGCTGAAATTCTTAGAAACTGCCTTTCTAAATGTCTGATGAAGACATTTCATCCAGCCACCTCACGCATCACATTCTCCAGTAGATAATTTATCGAGTCTAAGGTTAAGGATAAGATACCGCTTTTGGCCACCTCAATGTGTATTTATCAGTTTACTTGGACATACGCAATGTCAAGTGCGCAAACGTATTCTGCAACACTGTCCAGCTTGGTTAGCCAGAGGAGAGTAGAAGAATACTAGCAGCTCCATCCTCGAACACCTTGTCATCTCCAGTCATCGAGCACCTCCACTTGCATGAATGCTTCACAGTACTACACAGAGTCCCTCAATATCGTACAAAGGGACTTCGAATACGCCATCTATACATAGCTGAAGCATTAGCTATTCGAGATCTGAAACCGGACCTTTGCATTCAAAAGTGATACATACATTCACTCACCCTACCGTTGTCAGAGTAAAGTTCTTAGGATAATCTTGCTTCTCTTTATTATGTAAGTTTACTATTATTATTATTTTTATTGTCATTATTATTCCCATCATCCATATTTTATTACCACTCTATTACTGTTTATAAATAACATTGCCTTTTCATACAGATTTTATCTAAAAACACTTTATCGCCTTTCCACTAGTTCCTGTCCATTCTACACGAGCTTATTAGTTTAGTCATTATCTCACACTTATTACGTCATACCAACTTCTGCCCATTTTCTAACTTACAGTTAGTCATCCCTTCTTACACCTTACATTATGTAATGCATTTTTCGAGGACAAAGTTTACCAGTATCTGATTGGTCTAAAGATTTCTTTGTTAAATATAATTACGATTGTACAGCAGCTTATGAAAATGAATGGTCGAAAAGAAAATTTTCTTCGCTGTTTACGCCTTTTCTTATGACCCAATATAGGAGAAATTTCGTTCATTGAAGAACTTCTTGGTGTAGTATATAGTATTTTCTACTTGACATTTTTAATGTGATTTCTATATACACGACGTTACTTATAAGAATACTGAGTACAAGTGAGGTCTTTTGCAATTTTTTGTTCTACATAATTAGGAAGAATAAGATACATTAGTGGATGACCATGTCTCAGCTTCCCAGTAATCAATGTAAATGAAGCTCTGATTCAAGGAGAATCGCCTAACTTCACGCCTCACATGAATATATAGGCTATGTAATTCATATGTATATTTCCTTGAGTGGGCGTCGCTGGTGCAGCGGCAGAATGCTCGCCAACCACGCATGTGGTTCGGCGTTCGATCCTTGACCGACGTACTCCTTTACTTTCCTAAGCCATTAATAAGACTGATAAAGAGAGAAGGTTGGAGGGGCATCAGGCTAGCAACCACATCCCGTAAAAATAAACACCACTCCCACAGAAACTTCAAGCCTCTAGCTTGAAGCCTTATGTTCCACTGGGAATGTAAAGGAATAAGAAACATTATTTCCTCGGGAAAATAAGTTCTTGCCAGGAACTGCCTTTGCAACTAACTCACAGAGGAGATTCAAAAACCAACGGATGCATATGTCAAATAAATTTACCATTATTTTACTTGATTTTTCTTAGCCACACATTTTGGCTGTTCAAGAGACTAATTGATTTCTGTTCTCAATTTAGGATGGATCCAGTGATCAACAAAATTTTGATGATCTAATGTCTATTGGTATGTTATGTGGGTGTTAGTATTGTCATCTTGTTTTTACTTTAAGGATGTAATGAATGCATGGCTATGATAAATTTCACTTTAGTTATTCTTCACTCACCGAAATTGTTGGAGAGATTTACAGAATCAATAAATAAGACATGCTATTTCTTGAAGTTTATCTGGTCTGAGGTAAGTACTCTAATTTCAGCAGAAAATTTAACTCGATTACGATATAATCTTTGATAATATGTCTCTATAAGTTAAGTTCATTCATTTGTGTTAATTTTAAGAAATTTAGCACACCTATCTCAGTTGCAGCGTCATCGAACAAGGCATAGAATGATAGTCAAACCTCTCTCAGCTTCAACTTCTTCGACTTCGAAAAAGCCTTCGACAGACAGCGTTGACCGAGAAGTAATTCGGAAAATACTGAAACACTACAGCCTGCAGTGTCCAAGTATTTATCGACCTAATTCAACAGCTGGTTGACTATATGACGTTGTCACGTTTCAGGTGAACCACAACGGATAACTCAGTGATAAAGCTTTTGAAGTGAGTACAGGAGTAAGAAAAGGCTATTCGCCCATTATCACCGATGATATTTCTAATTGTGGTCGACTGGATTATGCGTTATACTGAGCATGGGGAGTGAGAAGACAGGAGTATGCTGCATTGACAGATAAGAAGGCTCAGGAAGATTTGGATTTCATGATTGGATGATATATGTTTAACGTCACACAAACCCGAAGAATTTCAGGCAGGCGAAAATCAACAAACTGATAGAAGACAGTAGCAGGCGGTGAAGACAGGACTCCAAGTGAACAAAGAGAAGACGGAGGTGATGAAAATAACCAACCAACCAACAACAACAACCAGCAACAACCAACATTAACAGGAGAGATTTGAAAGAGGTAACTTCTTTCACCTATCTGTCTGGGAAGTATCGTTTCAACCGTAGTCGGAACTGATGAAGATGTGAAATCCAGTCTGAATTGGAAAGCCGAGATACATCTTCATCAATCTGAAATGAATTTGGAAATCTTCTGCTCCCAGTCAGTATAAAGAACAAGATTCGGATTTTCAACATTAATTTCAAGTCAGTCAGTCAGTTCTTCTATATGGGTCAGAAACGTTATGAAGCATCACAAACAGCACTTCCAATAGACCATTACAGACCTATATCAAAAACTCCCTTCTCTGGCTCAATTTTTAAGATCAAATCGCCTGCTGGTGGACCAGAAACAATTAGCAACGAGAAACTCTGGCTGGAAACAAACCGATCAAGGGCTGACTGCTCCATAAATATGTCGAAGGAAATGTAGATAGAAACGGAATACGTTGAGGAAGCCATCGAATGACCTCGTGCTCAATGCAGGCCATTGCTAAAGTAGAATTCAAATGGGAAGCGACGAGTGGGTTATCAGTGTGAGGATGACATGGAAGAGATTGTTTGAGTTAAAGGAGGAGATTAGAGATTATGGCAATCGTGGGGTCAGCCAGCTGTAAAGGACATCAGAAAACAGAGCAAAGCGGAGATGTGTTATTGAAGCTCTATGTTTCACTCGAAACCCAAGGGAATAATAATAACAATCATGGTTGTACCAAATGCTCAGAGAATTCTAAAAGGCAGTAACACCTGTATTTTTAACAGTTATTATAAGTTCTTTTTGAAATTTTAAAGTAGTCGATCGTGAATCCTTCAGCATAAGACTGAGTTTTCTTATCAGACTCAATGGATGGAAAGTACATTATATATAAATATCAATATAAAACATATGCTAGTCACTGAAATTATTAAATTACAAGATGAGAATGATTAACCTATTACATTAAACCATATTAACCTATGTCTCAATATCCTTTTGACAGAAGAAGCTGGTCATTAATCGGATGTTGAATTATCAGTTTTCCTTGTGAGTAAAATTTATTTTGATAAAGTTTCACAGGGTTATACAGTAATATTTACTGATGACCAGGTTTCGAGCACAATTCATTACTCCTCCTCATCATCATATCAAGCTACTCACACAACTTTCTAACTTCCTTTACATAATTCCATTATTTCTCATCACTTGATTCCATTTGGTAGTAGTATTTTCCATATATCTGTTATGAATGGTGAGTCATTCCTATTGCGCGTATTGAGTTTAGATTCAATGAACAAAGATTCAGTGAGTAATGAAACTTTCTTTATCACTACCTGCTTATATTGCTTTTTAAAAATTCAACCCCCTCCCAACCTACTGTGTGGTTGTGTGTTAATGCATGCAGTGGAATCGCTGACCTTTTTTCTAAGCTACTTATCTTCGCTGGGTCAATCATTTTAACCTTAGCTAAATTCTTATGTTCTGACAGAATATTTGACTACCCCCGATCTACTGGTTTGACCCATGTAGTTGACTTAACTCACAACCGGTGCAAGATATTTTGTAAATTGTATTATTTTGTTTAATTGGGTCAACCCACAGGCTCCTTTAACCTGCAGAGCTCGGAAGTTGGAAAGTCGTGAGCAACCTGATATGATTATGAGGAGTAATGAATTGTGCTCGAAACGTGGTCATCAGTAAATATTACTGTATAACCCTGTGAAACTTTATCAGAATAAATTTTATCCTTAATGAAATTATACTCTACCACAGTGCCCAAGTTTTATTCTCAGATCAATTATCAATTTTCTTTGCTTTTCACTCCAAACATCAAACAATTGACATCCTTATTCTGAATTCTAAATACACTTTACTATTTTCAAACCCCATTCATCAAAATGTAACCCTTAAATGTGATAGAAAGAGAGCCGATCCAGATGAAGATGCATACAAGAATTCAGTTGAAGTGACAAATAACTTTTTACAGGATTTAACCATGAATTGACAACAGTTAGAGAACCATTGGAAACCACCAGGTAGCTATTTCGTCAACCTACTGATTCTTCAGCAGTACACACCCACCGCAGGGGTTCGGACCCAGGACTTTCTGGTCACAGAGCCAGCTGATGAAGAGTCCCGAACTAGGTCTAATCAACTATCCATTACTCCCAGGTGTCCCAGTGGTTCTCTAGCTGATGTCAGGGCATGATGGAATCCTGTAACCAACCAACCAAATCCCTAAAAACCTACATTTGAACATCAGTGACATGCTCACTAACAACTTACCCTATTCAGGTAGGTTCAAGTGGGGAGTCATTACCAGTAGGGTACAGCAGGTCAGGTGTGAGGATAAATATTCTCCACCTATGACATTGGCTGATGGTCGCGCTATATCATGCGTGAATTTGTAGAATTAGAAATTTATGCTCTGGTCATTGAGGAGTTGGGTTCCAGAGGCTTAATGGTCCACGAACTCGCTCGTCTTTTAATCGTGGTGTGCGTCGGTGGCACAGTGGTTAGGACTCTCGCCGACCATGCACATGGTCCGGGGTTTGATCCCCTGCCGACGCACATCCGATATCTATGGTCGGCCTGCAAAATTGGGGCTACCGATATCCATGCTAAAAATTCCATACTTGTACTGAAAATACGGTGTGGCATCAAGCTGTAATCAAAATCAAAATCAATCAGTCAAATCAAACCTGCTGTGGTGGGTGCGTAGTGACGAAGAGTCAGTGGGAAACTAAGCTGGTGAAACAGCTAGTTGGTTGGCAGTGTTCCTTGGTGGTTTTCCAGTGGTTCTCTAACCTCTGTCAATTGATAATGAAATCCTGTAACCAACCGATCAAATCCCTACAAACCAATACTTAAATAAGTTTTCAACCACTGAAATATTTGGAATTCTCTAGTGTTCAGCTCTACAGGGTTACATTTCAAAATTCTTTGAAAACATATTTCATAGTGAAAATTTGAATTTAATGTTTGAACCATATGGCTTACCTATTCACTGTGTATTAAACACTTTCACTTGTAGTGTGAACAGTTTGCCACTGATGGTTTTCACATGTACGTGGATAATCTAAAGAAGAGTGAATCAATAGAAGTTTGTCAGGTAAGTCTTCTGATATTCAAATATCTCTTTAGATGCTGGTAAATTTATAAATTTATGCATCTTTCAACTTCTGTTGATGTCTGAATACTCTTCCAGGTTTCATTACAAAGAGAAAGATGTTTCCCAAATAAATTTAACTGGTTCTTAGAAGAATTATTAAAATTCAGGTTTCTTGTAGTTTCCATCAGTGTGGGCTTATGCGAAGAATACCTGATAAATTTTGCCGCTGTTACAGTTGGAGAACAAAGTTCTTTATGAATACGGGATTCAAGTGTAATCACCAACTGACTTCAATAAGAGAACCATTGAGAACTAGGGAGTACTGGACAGCTAATGTCGTGCATTGGTGGCACAGCGGTTAGGACTCTCGCCGAACATGCACATGGTCCAGGGTTCGATCCCCTGCCGACGCACACCTGATATCAATGGTCGGCCTGCAAAATTTGGGCTACCGATATCACATCCTGAAAATTCCATACTTGTACCAAAAGTACTGTGTGGAGTCAAGCTATAATCAAAAAAAAATATCCAGGTCACAGAAATTCCGGATTTTTCGCCGGTTTCAGAAGACTAAGCCTAATATACAGAACACTATGGAATGTCACCCACGCAGAACAACAGTAAACGGTTGCACTGCATGATTGTTTGTTCTTCAAACGATGACAAAACAGATTTACAATGGGTAGTCAGTGCCAGATTCTGCAAAAAACGTTAATATGATGTACAACAATACTTTTAATCGTATTTCTCCAGTCTTCCACCAACCAGTACATGATCGATTAAGCAATGAAAGCCCTCTTGTCTCCTGTCAATCTGGAAATCAGTTCGAATAAGGGAACGATTCAGTGTTCACCAGCATTGACAGCTGTTGTGTCTTGGTTTGCGAGTTTTTTTAGCAATGCGCACCCTTGATGCCATCAGGTATCGAACTCAGTACCTTCAGGTTACAAGGCGAGCTGTTTGACCATCCAGACACTGAAACAAGATCAATGGCTCATTAGTTCTAATTTTTGCTGTCATTTATGAATGTAGCGTAGGTTTCGTCTTCAAACTAATGTACAAATGTTGTATTTGGTATCACTGAGAGTGCATTTAAATCTGTCAGATAAAACAATTTTACTATACCCCAAGTTACAGAAAGATGAGGACTTCAGTCTAAGCACAACGCACTTTTAGTTTAATAGGTGTTACATGTCTTTAGTACTCCGGTAAAAGAGATCAATAACATGAATGCCATTATATCCCAAAGGTAGTTCTTTTAGAAGTCATACTGTACAAGAGATACGTAGCTAATTGTGAGTTCAAGGAAAATAAAGTGTCTAAAGGAAACTTTAGTATTTAACTCTGGAAGACACTACAGGGCTATTCTAAGGCAAGTAATTTTTTAGATCAATTAAACCAGAAGGAGAATCTGAGTTCAGTATTCAACTCACTAAATAAGGAAGTGAAGAAGAGTGCCAAGAAGTACAAAGGACAATTCAACGACACACAGACAACTCAAGCAGAACAAGCTTCAACTAAGAGAAACGTCAGAATATTACATCAGATAACCAGTTCGCTATCCCGGAAGAGATCAACACAGATGAATCCGACGAAAGATAGTGAAGGAAACCAGATAACTAAAGAGGACAGACAAAAGAAACAATAGGCAAATTACTCCAAAGAACTCTTGAACCAACCAACACTCGTCTAGAAATATCACCAACAGCGGGCACAGAACTTCTACTGGACGCCAATCCTCAAAGGAAAATAGAAGTCTTCAATGCAGTCAATCTACTGAAAGCCTAGAAGGTGCCTGAACGAATTCCTCCGGAGCACTCGAAATAGATCGAGAGACTGCAGCGGATATGCTCACACCACTATCACACAATTTTGGGGAAGAAGGAGAGCTAACTGTTGATTAAAAGAAAGGTGACCTTGTCAGACTACCAAAGGAGGGAGAATTAGGCCTCTGTAAGAACTGCCACGGAATGATGCTCCTGTCCATGTCTGGGAAATAATTAATTCGCGTCATCCTGGAGAAAATAAAAGATGCACTGGATGCAGAACTCTCATTGGAAACAAACTTGATACAAGAAAGGCAAGTCATCTGAGGATCAAATTACAACTAACCATAGAATGACAGTCAACTCTCACTCTCTACCTCAATTTCATCGACTTCGAAAAGGCCTTCGACAGCGTTGACCACAAAGTGATTCGGAAACTGCTTCAACACTACGGCATGCAGTACCCAGATATTTATCAACTTCATTCAACAGCTGGCCGGCTGTATGACAATGCCAGGATTCAGGTGATCCACGACGAAAAACTCAGTGAAGAAGCCTTTGAAGTAAAGACAGGAGTAAGACAAGGCTATTTGTCTGTTGTCGCCGATGGTATTCCTAACTGTGGTGGACTGGATCATGAGGCACACTGCACACGAGGAGCGAGAAGGGATGAATATTTTGAACCGATAAGAAGACTCTAGAAGATGTGGACTTCATAGACAATTTAAGCCTCATTCTACAGAAACTCGAAGATTTGCAGGCAGGCGAAAAGCACCAAGTTGGCAGGAGGGGCTGGCAGCAAAAACATGACTCCAGGTGAAGAGAGAGATGATAGAGGTAGGTGATGAAGATAATCAGCACCAACAATCGGCACAAGTCACTATCAACGGGAGAAATCTGAAAAAGCTTACTTGCTTCAATTATCTGGCTAGGAAGTATCGCTTCAACTACAGGCGATAAAACGGATGAGGATGTTAAAACCAGCTGGGATTGAAAAAGCGAAACTTACCTTCCTTACTCTGAAATAACCATGGAAATCTACAGTACACAGCATAAAGTATGAAATCCAGATTTTAAAAATTAATATCAAGTTAGTTCTTCTAAATGTTCAGAGACATAAATCACCGCCAGAAGCATTTCCAATAGACTTCAGACTGTCATCAACGTCTACCATCACTTGATACTGAAAATCAGATAAATGACCGGGAAAGAGACACAAAGGGGAAATCTGACAATGAACCAGTCAACTGCCTGCTGCCCAACAAGTATACCGAAACAAGCAACAAAGGGGTTAATAAAGCAGGATTTAATGAATTCACCAAACTTCGGTAGAACTCTTCCTCAGCTGAATACTACTCTACGTACAGGCATATATATTTTTATATACTGTTAGAAATAAGTTGTGAGATATAAGACTAATAAGCAAGTAAACAACATTGAATTAGTCCTGTGGAACGATATGTGTGAATGTTTCTCAGGTCGTATTCAAAAAGATAAAGGGGAAGGGATAATGAGACATTGAGATAAAACGTATTACGTTTCAACTACATCAATTGAATAAAAATTAGTCATTAGAGAAAGAATTCAAGCGTATCAAGAATTGGGAACTGATTAGTATTAATAATAATAATTTTCAAGATTTCATTTGGAAGGACTTGATTTGTTTTTTCGAGTTTGACCACGGATTCATATCATCAGTCAGAGAACCATTGAAAACCGGATGGGATTACTGGACAGCCAGCTGTTTCGTCATCCTAGTTTGGGACTTATTGGGACTTACGCACCCACCGACAGGGACCCACCGGCTACAAGATGCGTACTGCCGAATAGTCCCAAACTAGGACGAACTAGCTGTCAAGTAATCCTTGGTTTTCAGTGGTTCTCTAAATGATTCGAATCCGTCGTCAGACTCGAAAACAAATAGTACTATTAAAAAAATAATAGTGATAATAATAATGTTAAAACGAGTTAAGGTGATTCTACTGATAAAAGATAGTTTTAAATGAATCAGGAATAATAATAATAATAAGAGTTAAAATGAAGTAATAATAATAACAGTTAATAAGAAACAGTAGATGAATTGGACACAAACTAAGGAGATGACTATCTAGTGACATCGGGCGCCACTACATAGCTCGACTGGAACCCGAACGGGAAACGACAAGTTGTGCGTTGCTTCAAGGCCGACATAGAGTAGATTGAGTAAGGAGGAGACTAGAGCCTTTCGTCGAACGTAGAGCTAGTGAATGACGACTACAGAGGGCAGGATGGATTGGCGGGGTACTGTTGAAGCCGTGCGTTTCACTAGGAATCCAAGGGATCAATAACAATAATTATTATAATGAAACTGTTCTCACAAAATTCATAATCTCAACATTTAATTTTCCCTACTGGATGAAGATTATTCATCAGTCTAACAAATGCACGCATTTAATCTAGTTTTTTTCCATTGTTTTCAGAGTTTGAATATATGCCAAAAAGTAAGTGACCGGCTTAAATAAATAAATTTTATAAAAACTTATAATATCTTAAGTGACTAAAAATGCCCATTAAAATTTTTAAAAGAATGGTTACAGAACAAAGAATACTCTTTTCGATAACCGGCTTTTCATCAGGTTCTACAGTTATATATGCACTATAGTGAATGAGTGAATTAGTGTTATGAACAACATTAATGTTAAAATAACATCGAATCAATAATAATATTAATACCAAAGGGTTACAGTTCAGTAGCATCAACATAAAATAAGCTGAATGTCAGAAAAATTAGGAAAGATAATAATACAAATTCATGAATTTCTAGTCTCCACTGAAGGCAAGCCAGGGCAGTAGTAGTGGCAATTTCAACTTGCTTCTTCTGAACATAGAGCAGTAGTTGTTTCACGCTAATCCTGTTAGCCTTTGCTGTATGGAACATGCGATACCCGGATGTTTTTGCCAATATATTTGGCACTTAGTAGATGATGGAGAAGGATTCTGCAATGCTGACTGGCTTTGTGGCCGGTTTCGACCATGTGGTCTAATATCGAACTGTTGATGGATTTTACTGCACCTTTATTTAGCCATACTGGGAGATGTTCTCGAGCGATCACGAAAAAGCAAGTTCCGACAGCAACGGCCGATATAACTCACTCGATTTAAAGATGAAGTACTTAGACTAGCTACTTCCAGTTGTATCCACCAATTCAACTGTGTTTGTGGTGGAGCGAGTTATATAGGCTGTTGCTCTCGGAACTTGATTTTTCGTGCTCGAGAACATCTTCCAGTATGGCTAAGTAAAGGTGTAGTTAAAACTATTAACAGCTCAATATTAGACCACCTGATCGAAACCAGCCACAAAGCCAGCCAGCATTGAAGAATCCTTCTCTATCATCTATCGGGTGCCAAATAAATTGGCAACTAGCACGAAACTGAGGTCCCGGCAAGGCTTCCCTTGCCGGTTACTTCCAACCATCAAAAACCAAAAATTCACATTTATAGTGACACGTCTTTAGAAATATTCATTTTGTTGCTAAGATAATCTACTAAATATATGTGATTTTACAGCTTGAGAATGCTATTGCCGATGTCTATTGATGAAGAAATCTTGAGAATAAAAACTGCCTGCAAGAAGCACATAATACAAACTAACATATTTTGAAAGCAATTATATGAAATCTTAGAGATAGTCGTTGGGCACTTGACGACAGAGAGCTAAACTTTTCTTTAAAAGTGACAAAAGAGCAACTTCGTATTGACTAAAAAACCGTTAAAATTAACGAGTTCAACCACTAACGCATACACTGTAGAATTGTTTCAAATGCCTGGTGATTTATATAATTTAACGGAAAGAGCGTTTCGATACTAACCTAATTCTTAGGAGATGAGACAGTAACTCATATTTCACGAAACGTACGGTTAAATTGATACGCAGTTAAAGACAGCTAGCTATTTCCTCAACCTAGTTTGGGATTGACTCTTCAGCAGTACGCACCTACAAACATGGTTCGAACCCATGACCTCTCAGTTACGAGACTAGCGAGCTCGTAGACCATTTAGCCACTGGGATCAAACTCTTAACTGAATAGAGCATAGATTCCTACTTCCACCAACTCACGCACGATAAAGCGTGACCAGCACTAGCCAATGTCATCTCTATTAAGTATTTGTCCTCATACGTGATCTGCCTTATTGCTGTTTACTTTATATATTAGGAACCATTGGTCAAAAAAGTAATTGAGAATATTTTCGGAATACAAATAAAAGGAATTTACTGGAAACGTTCCACACATCTCTTGTAACACTAACCAGCAACTGAAGTACTGGTTTGTAGGAATTTGATTGGTTGCAGGATTTATTCATCAGTTGATATTGATTAGAGAACCAATGATAAACCTGGGAGTACTGGACAGCTGTTTCGTCCATTGGATTGGGTCCCAGTGGCTGTGAATGGTTTACGAGCTCGCCTTGTAACCAGAAGGTCCTGGGTACGAGCCCTGGTGGTGAGTGCGTGGCTCTGAAGATTGAGTTCTAAAGTAGGCTGACGAAACAGCTAGCTGTCTGTACATAGTACTCCCTGGTGATTTTCCAATAGCTGTGTAACCGATGTCAGCTCGTGATGAAATCCTGTAATCAATTAACCAGAAATGTTGCAGGACATTTTATGTAGCTGCGCACAACTTATGTCAGCTTATGCCATGAAATTGATAAACTACATTGGGTTTCAATATTATATATGTATACCTTCTGGATTCAGAAATTTTCATGCGGTATTATGCTTAGTTATTTCTATCGGTGTTCAGTATACATTTATTCTTTCTTTATTATTTTTTCTGCAGAAGACATCTTGAAAATAGTGCTAATCAATCACTGCTTAATGAACGAGAATATCAAGAATCCTTAGCATAGACCAATTCAATCTATCTCACGATAAATCAATCTGTGTTTAATCTGACATTCACCTCTGTGTTTTGCAAACTTATACCGTTTAAGTGATTCTTGACAGTATTAGAAACTGAATAGTCGCCAATCACAAGTTTAGAGCTACTGTTCAGTGCTTAGTCGCATAATCAAACGAAACGAAGCTGTGGGATCTTCAGATTTCACTGAGGTGACTTTACAGCTTCACCACTGAGTTGAATTCAACCTGCCACTTTTCTTTATTCAAAAGTATTAAAATAATCTGATAACACTAGTAACATTCTTTTTGTGGTCTTTCAGTCTTTGAGTTTTCTTTACAATAGCTGACAGTTACATAAAATCAGAGTTTTAAGACTTCAGTCTTTCAGAACGTTTGGCGGTGTCCACTGTCCTCTTTTCTACAAGTAATCCTAACTTGTGTTTGATGTCAGTTTCATCGATTAGAAATAAGAATAACGATATCTGATGTGACTGTTGTTTCTACTGCTAGGAGACTATCTTGACTGTGATGTATAAGCTACATCGTGTATTCGTGGAATAATGTAAATAAAACTCTTCTTATATTGCTCGCAGAAACGAACCACCCACATGCTTACTAAAATATTTTCACAGTAGTATGAATTTTAATGCAAAAAAATATTCTATGGGCATTCTTACTTGGTCAAATTGTTTCAAACTGTTTCCTAAGACATCTTGCATAACAGAAGCAGTAAGATAAACGGGAGTAATTTATTCTCAGAGATTATTTCACCTTATTATCAACTGAATACCAGTTTGTAAGTGGTTAATTGACAAAATATGCTAATTGTATTGTCAATTATTCCGATTAGAAAGATCCTGAACCTATCGCTGGTTTCAGAAGACTAAGCCTTATATGCAGAACACTATGTACTTTAACTGACGCAGTACAACAGGAAACAGTCGAGCAACACGACTGTTTATTCTTCGAGTGATAATTAATCCGATTTACAATGGTTAATCAGCGCCCAAGTCTGTATATAAACGTAGTTCCGCGATCTTCCACCAACCAGTACACGATCGATTAAGCAATTACAGTCTTCTTGTCTCCTGCCAATCTAGAGACCAGTTCGAATCAACTATTCAGTGTTCACTAGCATTGACATATAACCTTCTAAAATAACAAGTTAGAAATGTAATCGAATGAAAGTTCTGATGTGCATTACATCGGATTTTATTATATAAGAGTCTGAGTTCAAGAATTGCATTCATATGTGAGCTTTTCGTCAGCTTATATGAAGATGTAAAGTATTGACAGTGGTTTTCAAAATAAGTGAAGAACATTCTCTTTTTGTAAGATGGTTGGAGGCAATCAACAGGAAAAGCCTTGCCTGACCTAGGTTTCTTCCTGGTTGGCACTCTTCAGCAAGGTGTATCTGCAACCTTGAAGGGTCTCATGTCCCTTCTGGGATTCTAACCTATGTCACCACGCAGTGCCGCTTGCAGTCAAACACGTTGTCACTGAGCTATTTGAACTTGCCGTTAACCACCTCATGTATGACTGTATTGGAAACTTTGACTGGACACCTATAATTAGTGTGATGTACCTAGTACTTTCTTTGGTGCAGACTGAATTCTATCAGTCAGGTTTGCAATGTGACCACGACCAGATACACCTTGCTGACGAGTGCCAACTAGCACGTAACCTTGGTCAAGATGGGCTTCCTGTTTCCGATTGCCTCCAACTATCTAATATCATCAAATCAATGTGCACCGTGGTGAGCTACCTAGAATGGTGGTCACATTGCAAACCTGACTGATAGAATTCAGTCTGCATCAAAGAAAGGACTGGACACATCACACTAATTACTAACTAGTGTTCAATCAAAGTATCATTCTCTTTATTCAAGTCACTCGACAAAATCTCACGTCTAAAAGTGTCAAATGTTCAATTAAATGTCAATATTCATGAAAGTGTTGTCGCCTTTTTGCGTGGTCAAAGAAAGCTGTGATGTTCATTTTTCCTGCCATAGATTTGAGTAAATGCGAATCATTTGTTAACAATGACTTTATATTCCCCTCTTTTATTGAAGTCTTATTTTCAATACGTATGAATGACGCTGATTACTCTCCACTTAGCTGATGATTTCACGTATGAAACCTTTTTGAAATTAAGAAACTTCAGATTAGATTAGATTAATCAGTCTCACCAAACTCACTGAATATCAATCGCCAATATTCTCCTTACTATTTGATAATTCTTCGTCAATAATGTCTAACTATGGCGTTTTGGTCAACAAAAACTTATGCCCTTCAAAATTCAAGTGTTAATTCTCAGGGATTTGATTGGTCTCAGGACACCGATCAATACCAATCTGATGCTCACTAGCGACTGGCTCTATTCAGGTTGGTAGTTACCTGGATTCTAGTGAGAAGTCGTGACCACTAGGTTACATCAGGTAGGATGTGAGGACAGATACTCGCCACCGAAGACATTGGCTAGTAGTCGCATTATTTCGCAGATTAGTATAAATAAGTTGGAATCCATGGACCTGTCGCTGGATCGAATCCCAGTGGCTGAACGATCTACGAGCTCGCTAGTCTTGTAACCAGAATGTCCAGGGTTAGAACCCTTGTCTGTGGGTCCGTAGATCTGAAGATTGACTCCCAAAGTAGGCTGACGAAACAGCTAGCTGTCTGTACACAGTACTACCTTGTGGTTTTCAATGCTTCTCTAACTGATATCAGTTCGTGATAAAATCCTGAAAGCAATTGATCAATTGTATCTTTACTAATATAAATAAAATCCTTTAGTATTATAAGTTATTCTGTCGAAAATTCATCCCTTAAAATAAAAAAGCTAATTCTTTAAATTCATTCGAAGCATAGTCAGTCTATAAAAATCTGTTTTGAAATTGGTGTTGTCTACAAAGCAGATAAAAAGCTCCACGAACAGTTTATCAAACCAAAAAGCCTAAGTATTACATATTATCCAGCTCCACCTAAGTTAAAAAACGCTTGCATCATTCTACTACGTATTCAATTATTCTCTAGCTCACTAATCCATGGTCACATTTCAGTAACGAAAATCACCGATATTTTTGTTCAGCGAAGAAATATCTCTTTTCAACGACTTCACTTTCAAGCTGTACAGTGGTATTTTTATATTACAGAAAACGGCATTAATTGGCACCAGAAATTACTCAGTAGTCAATATTGCACATATGATAAGAATAAAGATAATTAAAATAATGTATCAAGGCGGTAGAGTTGAATTGAATGAATTACAAAACTTATAAAGATTATTAGGTAAGTGAATCGGTGTTAAGATTTCAAATATATTAGGTCGTGTTTTCTAAAAAGATGAAGAATACGATAATGATGATAACAAAAAAGACGGAGAAAACGAAGTGAAATGGGATGGATTCAAAAGGTAAAATAGGGTTAAATAAAGGCACATTACTACTGTATAAACAGAAGACAAGGGCTAGGCAACAGATCGTTTATTAAGGAAAATCAACACATATTTATAGATTTTAATGTACATTATTGTAGATTATTGTTAGTAGAAAATACAGTCTTTTGATTGGTTGTTTCTCACAGAAAGTTAACCTTGCATCTCTTTGTGGCTGTGTCAGATCATCTGTATATGCTAACTGTATCCGCCTACGCAAAGCCTTTGTTCTCATTTTCTCACCACCAATATTGGGGACATATACATTGACGTCAATTACTGTCTACCAACTTTGGCTAGCAGCCAGCTCTCACCACACTATGACCAGGGAATAGAAAAGGATTTTGAGAAAACGTCCATATATTGCTAGAGTTTTGGCTATGCATAGGTGGAGAAAATGTAAGCTTTTGGAGGGGTTTGACTTCGCCCTTCAGATAACTTTAAAGGTTTCAAGCCTGACCTATAATCATACTAAAAATCTAGTTCTAAATTCCACTGATATTTATTCAGAATGACTTGTCCACAAAAAACAATGGTGAAACCTTCCCGGAATGAGATTGTGGAAGTCTAATGACCTAAAAGACTGCCAGACAGAATTCTCAAGTGCAAAAATATAAATGTTTTAGTGATATCAGATATTCCTTCGTGAGATGGTGGAGCAATTTCAGTTCTAATTTCATAAACTGATGAGCACAATTTAGCACTGATGACTTGAAGTTATTTAGGACGTCTAATGAATTCGCTGTCAGGTCCCTTGTGTGGTTGATCAGATTCTCAAACTGAACTTGATCATGTAGTGTCTTTTCGTTCGACTGAGGGAAACAGAACTTTGAGCTATATGATAATATTTCCATATGAATAGTACTTGAATTAATCGAGGAGTAGTTAAAGACGTATTATTCAGGGTGTTTCAGGAATTTCCCACTTGATTCGGTTGGCTTTAGTAGATTCTTCAATTTGAGATTAGCACTATCGCATCTTCCTTTATAACCATAGTAGTGTAATCTTCATATTGTACACGAACCTCTGATGAAAGTTCGCTCAACACATATGCTGTCTGTGCAATGTTGTTTTACATATATATATACGATGGTACAGCTATGAAAATGAAATGGTCGAGAAGAGAATTTTCTTCGCTGAACTCTTTGTTTTCTGCCTCAGTGGAGATTATTAATTTAATGAAAAAGAACAAGGACCTCCACAGTGGTGAAATACCTGAAGGCGTTTTTACATCACATCGTCAAACTTGCATTGGCAAGAAATGAAATTCATTTTCTAGGCAAATGCATCGAAAATCAAGAATATTCAAAGTTTTACGTTATCATTTTGTTTATCCAAATCACAAAACTCTAAAACGTCACATACCTAACAGTATATATGCCATCCATTCTCAGATTTATGATTTAGAAAGAAACATTCCATGGAGAGCACTTGTGCTAAGCGAACTTTCATCAGAGGTTCGTGTACAATTTGAAGATTACACTACTATGGTTATAAAGGAAGATGCGATAGTGCTAATCTCAAATTGAAGAATCTACTAAAGCCAACACAATCAAGTGGGAAATTCCTGAAACACCCTGAATAATACGTCTTTAACTACTCCTCGATTAATTCAAGTACTATTCATATGGAAATATTATCATATAGCTGAAAGTTGTGTTTCCCTCAGTCGAACGAAAAGACACTACATGATCAAGTTCAGTTTGAGAATCTGATCAACCACACAAGGGACCTGATAGCGAATTCATTAGAAGTCCTAAATGACTTCATGTCACCAGTGCTAAATTGTGCTCATCAGTTTATGAAATTAGAACTGAAATGGCTCCACCATCTCATGCAGGGAATATCTGATATCACTAAAGCATTTATACTTTTGTACTTGAGAATTCCTTCTGGCAGTCTTTTAGGTCACTAGACGTCTACAATCTCATTCCGGGAAGGTTTCACCATTGTTTTTGCGGATAAGTCATTCTGAATAAATATCAGTGGAATTTAGAACTAGATTTTTAGTATGATTATAGGTCAGGCTCAAAACCTTTAAATTTATCTGCAGGGCGAAGTTCAACCCTTTTCAAAAGCTTACGTTTTCTCCACCTATGCATAGCCGAAACTCTAGCTCTGCATGGACAGAAACCTAAATTATGTGTTCAAAACGTTTTCTTAAATTCCCTTCCATTCCTTGGTCATAGTGTGGTGAGAGCTAGCTGCTAGCCAAAGTTGGTAGACAGTAATTGACGTCAATGTATATGTCCCCAATATTGGTGGTGAGAAAATGAGAACAAAGGCTTTGCGTAGGCGGATACAGTTAGCATATAAGATGATCTGACACAGCCACAAAGAGATGCAAGGTTAACTTTCTGTGAGAAACAACCAATCAAAAGACTGTATTTTCTACTAACAATAATCTACAATAATGTACATCAAAATCTATAAATATGTGTTGATTTTCCTTAATAAACGATCTGTTGCCTAGCCCTTGTCTTCTGTTTTTACAGTAGTAATGTGCCTTTATTTTATTCTATTTTACCAGTTGAATTCATTCCACGTCTTCACTTCATCTTCGCCATCTTTATTGTTATCATCATCACCATCATCAGCGTACTCTTCATGTTTTAGACAAAACTTGATCTACTATTTCTAAAATCTTAACGCCAGTTCACTTATTTAATTATCTTTAAATGTTTTGTAATTCATTCACTTCAACTCTACCCTTCCCCCTTAATACATTATTTTAATTATCTTTATTCTTATCATATGTGCAATATTGACTACTGAGTAATTTCTAGTGCCAATGAATGCCGTTTTCTGTAATATAAAAATACCACTGCACAGCTTGAAAGTGAAGTCGTTGAAAAGAGATATTTCTTTGCTGAACAAAAATATCGGTGATTTTCCTTACTGAAATGTGACTGCCGATCAGTGAGCTAGAGAATAATTGAATACGTAGTAGAATGATGCAAGCGTTTTTTAACTTAGGTAGAGCTGGATAATATGTAATACTTAGAATTTTTGGTTTGATAAACTGTTCTTGGAGCTTTTTATCTGCTTTGTAGACAACACCAATTTCAATTTTTATAGACTGACTATGCTTCGAATGAGTTTAAAGAATTAGCTTTTTTATTTTAAGGGATGAATTTTCGACAGAATAACTTATAATACTAAGGGATTTTATTTATATTAGTAAAGATACAATTGATCGATTGCTTTCAGGATTTTATCAGGAACTGGTTTCATTTAGAGAACTATTGGAAAACCACAAGGGAGTACTGTGTTCAGACAGCTAGCTGTTTCGTCAGCCTAGTTTGGGACTGACATTTCAGCAATTCGAACTCACGGACAAGGGTTCTCACCCAGGACATTCTGGTTACAAGACTAACGAGATCGCAGACCATTCAACCACTGGCCCGTCCGTGAATTCCAGCTTCTGCCAATTCACGCATGTTATAGGGCGACTGGCACTATCCAATGTCACTTGTGGCAAGTATCTGCCCTGACACCCAACCTGCTCTACCCTTCTGATCAAGACTTCTGACTAGAACCCAGGTAACTACCTGCCTGAATGAGACCAGTCAATAGTGGGCATCTCATTGATATTCAACTATTGGTTTGTAGGTATTTGATTGATTGGTTACACGACTTCATCATGAGCTGACATTACAATAGCCTTAAAATGTGTCTGATGAATAAAAGTACAAAATGAAGAATATTGAGCTTATTTATTTCATATGAAAATATTTTTTTAAACATTCATTTTTCAATGTAAAACACTAAATTAAACAAAAGAGGCAATGAACTTCAGAATGCTAGAAACATTTCTGTTATCAAAACAAACATATTTTTGTAAAAAGACAAAGGTCTCATTTCTCTAATAATAATAATAATAAAAAACTCAAAGTCAACCCTCAAAATACTTTGTTGTTTTATTTTTTTTCAAAATAGGTTAAGATAAACTATAAAACTCAATAACAAAGTTAAATAGAATTAATTAATCTTACATTATTATACTCAGCAACAATAATATAGACAGTTATGCTTTGCCTACAGTTCATTCTATTCATTGTATACACAAGTAAACTAATAATTTCTGCTGAAATTCAGCAGTAATCCTGTCTCCTTTTCTAGTTGGTTTGCAGTTCATTTATGCGGTTGATGTAAGCATTACTGTTCAATGTTTTTATATTTCATACTAATTTATGTACTTACATATACATATATGCTCACCGTTAAAATAGATAGTTATATTCATATATAAAGTAGCATAGTTATTTGTTATGCGTCGGTGGCACAGCGGTAGGATGTTCGCTAATCAGGCATAATGTGATTCGGGGTTCGGTCCTTTGCTGACAAGGCACTCTTTTACCTCACTAGGCCGGTAATAACACCAGTAAAGCTTGAGGTTAGCAACTTCATCCCGTAAAAATAAACACCACTGCTACTGAAACACCAAGTCTCTGGATTGAAGCCACTTATGTTCCACTGAAAACGTCAGGGAATTTAAAAAGTAGAAATGTGTTGAAAGAATACACACCTTCTATATGGCTAACTTTATGAGGATACTACTTAGACGCGTTTCCTACACGCTGTAGAAGATAAATGTTTAAAAGTAGAGTTCCCAGTGGTGTTGTCCCTATAAACAACGGTAATTATGGGATACGATCCAGTTAGATTTGAAGACACTGATAAAACAGACTGAAAGTTTTGAATTTGATTATAAGACGGACTAAGGATAACTAGTTATATATGTTCAAACCAAGTTTACTTTGAACAGTTTTTGTATTTCCCAGGGTGAATGAAAAACAAAACGATATCGTTGGTTTTACTAACGTTTCGCTATTACTTTATCAAAGTAGTATTATTAAACCAGAATTTACGAAATCCACTCAGCTTGGATTATTATAACAACTTAATCATCCTTCATCAGTATGGGGTAATTTTTACATTGTTGTCGAGTTGGCCAACTGATAAAGATAACAAAACCAGGTGTAGATTGTTGGATTCGATAAGCGTATATAATAATGGAAGTGCTAATCACATTCGTGTTGATTTTATCATTCCCTGGGGGGTGAGAGGGGTGTTGTAACCTGGTCAAATTCTGTTTTAGTCCATCATTCCTATTCAACTCAGACAATTTGTATTTTCATTTGATATGAACTGCTTCCCATGATATTAGACGTTCTTTGTGATTTCTGAAATTCTTCGGCATTATTTCAATATCGTCAAAATCAATTTTGTGACCTGATTCTATAGCGCGATATGTAAGCGACGTATGGATGATATTTTTTACGCTTTTCTAATTCAACTGGACTTATCGATTATCGAAAAGACACACTCACTCTACGGTCTTTGCTCCTTCTCATTACATTGATTTCTCTCTGACGAGGTTCATCCGATGTGTATGACATTGCATCACAATGCAAGCATTTCATTTCGTACACACAATTAAATTGAGAATACTGTGGGATTCGGTCTTTCACATGTACTAGGTTGCTTTGTGATGTGTGTGTAAGGGAGAAAGTCTGATGTTTTGGAGAAAACTTCAATGTTGTGCTTATTGATTTTACCTTCTAACGTATCTGATGGTCTATTTGGAATGAAGATATTTTAGACGCATATCTTTGGAATACGTTTTCGACGATGTTTAGTGTAGGTTTTGACTTTGTTAATGAAGTTGTTTGGGTAGTTATTTCTTCCCCAAGACGATTTTAGCAATGTCAGATATTTCTTCTCCATCTGTTCCCTTCTCATTCGTTAACACTGAAGTGTGTGGTCGTCTAAGAAGACTTGAAACAACGGATAGCTTCGCGGTGATGTGATGTGATGAACCGAAGTCTAAATATGTATATACAGTCATATCCGTTTTCCCTCCTCTTAACTGAGCTGTCTAGAAATTTTAGTTCACGGAAGTCTGATTCTGCCCACTTCCGAATTGTGTAGATCTCGCTTTAGCATTACAAAAGTATCATCAACGTATCTCAGCCATACTTTGGGCGTAAGTATGCTTCAAACGATGTTATCTTCAAATGTATTCATGAAAAGATCAACGACCATTGCGGAAACTGGTAAACCCATAGAAACACCATTTTCTGTCTATATAATCTCCCTTGAAAAGTTAAATAATCACTTTCCAGACAGAATTTTGAGCTCTTAATTATTTCACTGATGTCAAGTAGACGTCCTTTTGACCGAGTTGCATCCAATTCTAGTAAAGTGAAAATGATATTAAGATATTCGGTAGTGGGACTAGTAGTATGTAATGAGTTAATAGCATAGCTCACCATAATATCTTCTTGATCAACTTACCGGTATTCTATTTTGCACTTGAAATCATATGAATCTTTTATAACATTTTGAGTGCAGTTTTGCAGTGATTGTAATATCGAAAACAAGTACGTGGAAAGGTTGTATTTTGGTGAGGTGAGTTGGCGAAATCGGCTACTGATCTTAATGGGATTCCGGGTTTACGTATCTTTGGTTGACCGTAGAATTTCGACGGTTCATAAAATCTTAGTTTTTAGTTTAAACCGGAGAGAATTTCGAATTGTGGGGCTTTAATTCTTGAACATATACTTATCGAAATAGTTCAACTGATCTCTCTTTGACTCTCTATTCAAATCTCTTAATAAACAAAGTCAGACTACTATGAGAGAAGTTTTAAGAAGAGATGAATTACAGACTAAATGTGAATAACCTTTTGAGATACAAAATAGTTAAATCTCTTATTCAAATATTTAGCAGCATACATGTTATTAAAATGTTACTTCTAAGTTTACATTGATTTGTTAGCTGATTTGCATTCAACCCAACTTATCTGTTCATGTTATATGTTTCATACTGTGCATAAATTATTCAACTTCCACTCCACCTTATTATATTTTAAAAAATGAAGGCTGAACACCTCTCCAGTCCTCCGTCTGATGACTTGAGTAAGTTGATTCTTTTTGTGTATGATTTGTCAATCTTATCTCCATACACCTTTAGAATGTGAAGTATGCGAAGGCTTAGTCAACATAGGAAAGTTATACCTCTTATCTCCAAAGGTCACTAGAATACTTGACAATTTCATTTGGAAATTTTGCAGGTTACCAGGAATTGTTACGAAAAGAGTGAGTTAAATACATTTAGTGTGTAAAGCTATGAATGAATAAATCAATAAATATATATTCTTTCAGACATCTATAAAAGCACAAAAAGAGAAGAATATCCTTTCCGATAAATTCCTCTTCAAGCTCTATAATTATATATATATATGTTTATATACATAGAATATTCTAGATTAGTAGTCAATAACAATATTAGCGTTTCTTGAATAATATCGACTTGTAAAGTAAGATGAATGCAATTACAGTTCATTAAAGATGCTCAAATTATAATAATAATAATAGTGAAAATATGTTAGCACATAGAATTTCAACTAAAATTAGGAAAAATTCCACAAAAATTCAGGATCATCCAAACCTAGATGGTCAAGGTAAGGATAATGTCTGAACTAACTCCTTTTGGATGCACAAATTGGGCTTCTTAATATTGATTCCAACAGTCTCAGCAATATTTAGAAGTCGAACTCTTAAGGCGAAATTGAGATCTGTTGGTATGCGATAAATGACTCTGAAAACTTGGTTAACACCAATCTTGTGTTCTGTAGATTTCGTTCGTCCTTTGCTATTCGCAGCGCCATACTATCTCATCTTGTGGATACAGAACACAAGATTGATGTTAACCAGGCTTTCAGGGTCATTTACCACATACCAATAGATCTCAATTTCGCCTTAAGAGTTCGACTACTAAATATTGCTGAAGCTGTTGGGATCCATATTAAGAAGCCTAGTTTGTGCATCCAAAGGAAGCTAGTTCAGACATTATCCTTACCTTGGCTATCTGTGTTTGAATGATCCTGAATTTTTGTGGAATTTTCCTAATTTCAGTTGATATTCTATTTGCTACTATATCTTTATTATTATTATTATTTAAGCATCTCTAATGAACTTTAATTCCATTTATCTTACTTTACAAACCGATATTACTTAGACAAAAAACACTAATATTGTTATTGAATACTAATCTAGAATATTCTATGGATATATATATATAATTGTAGAGCTTGAAGAGGAATTTATCGGAAAGGATGTTCTTTGCTCAATTATTTTGTGTTTTATAAATACATTCTTATCTAAAGTGATTTATATAATATGTGAGAATACATGTTTGTATCGCTTTTATCGATCTTTCCTTTTGGATGGCTAGTGCCTCGGATATGCCAAGATGTCATAATTTTACTCCCTTTCATAGGTTTGATCGAATCTTGTGTATTATTTTGGAGGATTTTTTTTCGAATGGCACTGAATGTCCTGAACTGATCAGATGTCCTGTCACACTGAACTATAAACACGTACCATGGGCCAAATGGAAAATCTCCCTCATGAACACTATCCAGCCTGGCGAGTAAAAAGAGAACGAAAACGTGTATATAGTTCAATATTTACTTTATTGAGGGAAGATGATCACTTATTGAGACATACCTTGCAACTTTGAGCAGAGTATTATATAACACATCGATATACTTAATACTTTTCTCAGAAAACACTGAAGCCTTCGTAAGATATATTCTCGTCTGCAAAACGCGTTGAGGTTATGCTAGAAAAATGAAATAATTTCATCTGACATTAAACAAACATTGGGCAAACTGAATTAAGAATAGAACTTGTGCGCTAGAGTAGAGTATAATTCCATTGTGAGTAAAATTTATTCTGATTAATTCTCACAGTGGTGTTATACAGTAATATTTATTACTGATGACCACGTTTCGAGCACAGTTCATTACTCCTCATAAGCACATCAAGATACTCATACAATTTTCTAACTTCCTTTAAATAATTCGATTATTTCTCATCTCTTGATATGATTGGTAGTAGTATGTTCCATATTTCTGGTATGAGTGACGAGTCTGAAAAAAGATTCAGAGAGTAATCAACCTCTCTTTATCTCCACCTGCCTCTATTACTTCTAAGAATTTTAACCCTCACACTCTGTTATGTGCTTGTGGGTTGATGCATGCATGCAGTGCAATTGCTGAGTTTTTGTTCTAAATTACCTATCTTCGTGGGATCAATCATTCTAACCTTAGCGAAATTCTTACGGTCTGACAGAATATCTGACTACTCCTGACCTAGTAGTCTAACCCAGGTGATTGGCTCAACTCACAGTCATTGCAAGGTATTTTGAAAATTGTATAACTTTGTTTAATTGGATCTGCAAACAGAGTCCTTTAACCTAAACAGCCACCACCCTAATTCCTGCTTTGTTAAGAATCTTACTTAGGAGGGGTCTTAGATGTGCCGTCCTTATATGGTAAAACTACTGTAGATGCCTAATATTCTTTCTTATTTATGTTGTGCGTTGGTGGCAGAGTGGTTATGACTCTCGCCGACCATGCACATGGTCCGGTGTTCGATCCCCAGCCGGTGCACACTCGATATCTATGGTCGGCTTGTAAATATGGGCTACCGATATCCATGCTGAAAATTCCATACTTGTATTGAAAATACGGTGTGGAATCAAGCTGTAATCTAAATGAAAAAATAAAAAAATATCATTATTAGTTTCCCAATTATTTTTATTTCGCTTTTGACCTTTTCTAATCTTTCTAATGAATTTTATAGGATAGTTAGTTATTTAACACCAACCAGTTATTCTTCTATCTTTTTTTTCATCATTTAGGTCTTTTCTTGTACTGCTTAGGGCTACTGCTCAGTTTGTTAGACAAACAATTAACTAAGCCACACAATATTAGGGGAAAGGGTTAAAATTCTAAAAAGTAATGTAGGTAGACAGTGAATTACGGAATCCTTGTTCATCGAGTCTACACCCAACGCGTGCAATAGGATGCAATGACTCATCAGTCATACCAGAAATATGGAAGATACTACTACCAATCATCAAGTCCAGAGATAAAAAATAATGGAATTATATAAAGGAAGTTAGAAAGCTGTTTGGGTCATCAGTTGTATATATTATTGTATAACACCACCGACATTAGTAAAAATGGCATATTACGACTTTAGTGATCACAATACCACAGAAATTTATATTTCCTTTAGAATAGATTGTTAAATTGGCATAAATTACAGTCCAGGTGTGATTATGTCTATGACTGGTCACTACTTAAACAGTTAGATAGTTCTATGCCACTTGAAATTAGACCATTAGTTTGACAACAGTTTCAAAATATGTGAATTTCGCCTTCAGTAGACCCTACTGACATAGCTAGATAATAATATGGTCGACGGGAGAATACTTTACTTGCTTCTAGGGATTAATTAGAATGCAACAAGATATCTCCTGTGGCAAGTGCCGGTGACGTGCGGGTTTATTTTTCATAGCTGTAACATTTTCATGTTTTTCTAAGGGATTTGATTCCTTTTTCAAGTCTGACAACCAATTGATATTATGTGCAATTGAGTCAGATCCCACTGGATGAGAATGCTTTAAGACCTTGCCTTGTAAGTGGAAGGTCCTAGGTTCAAAACCCTGTCAGTGGGTGCGTACTGGTGAAGAGTCAGTCCCAAACTAGACTGACGAAACAGATGGTTGTCAGTACTCCCTGCAGGTATTCAATGGTCCTCTAGTTGATATGAATTCGTCGTCAAACATGAAAAAAATCAAATCCCCACAAACCAATTTTTGAAAATTAGAAAAAAACAACAGATTTAGAGAAGAAATATGCATTCCTTTTCAGTTCAATTGCTTCCTCAGCATAGACTGGCTGGTTGGCTCCACACTAATACATAGTGGTCTTTGACATCAAAATCTTTTCACCAATCAAGTGTATATTTTAGTTAATCAGTTTTAGGTATAGGTAGACGGGAATGGGTGAAATTAAGAGGTTAAAAGTCATCGAAACACTCAATTAACTAATAGATGTTAGTAACAAGATATCTGAGTTTTGAAGGAGGGAGGGGTGAAGCGTAATTATCAACGGAATTCAAGATAAGTTAATTCTTGGGTATTACCAACAAGTTAATGCGTAATCAACAAATTTGTAAAATAGCAATGACGACTGAGAAAAATAGGATGACTCAGAAAAATTGCGTAAAATACAAACAAAGAAGTAAATAGAATTAGCTAGAATTGTAAAAATAAACAAAGTCAAGACACAGTGAAAAACTGAGGGGAAAAATTGTTTTTAAAAACCTAATACATATTACGTCATTGACCAGGGCAATGAAAGGGTTTGTACAAATTCCTTTCGAATGCACACATAGATTTGGCTTGTTCAGATGAATGACGGTTGCCCCTGCTGTATGTAAAACTCGTACTCGTAGACTATGCGGCGAGAGGTTGAGTGAAATATGATAAATAACTTTAAAGGCTTCGTTAGAGTCAACTTGATGTCCAACTCATGAACGAGATGGGCTGGTACTGAGCTGCGTATAGCAGCTTTATTCGGACCTTTGCGAACTAACATGTGTGGTGTTCAGTAATTCGACCATGAACTTGGCTAATCGTGAGCCCAATGATCTTATGGCAACACCATCTGACTATCTATATATATTTCTTTATTGAACCACTAGGCCGAGTCCTAGCGGATTTTTCCTGACTAGACTACAGAATGGTCCTCTTAAAGAAGTAATTTATTATCGTGATTTCAATTGCACAATTTGTTGATGATACATTTACAGCTGTGAAGAAAGAAAGTGAAGCTTGGGAACATATTTGATAAATTCAATAAAGCACATCCTGAAGATGAGTCCTAAAACTAGACAGGCTGGCTGGCTGTCCAGTGCTTCTTGGTTCACCATAGTTCTCTAACTGATATCAATCCATAGTCAAAAACTTCAGTAAACTAAAACATAATAAAATAAGTATACAGTTGGTTATGAGTCTGTTCTAGCTGAATAGAGCTGAAGAAAACGGAGTTGAAATTAGTCATATATATACATGTTAATGATTAAATATAATATAACTTGGACTATATATTATTATTCTCTCTTCAATTATATTTTGATTTTCATAGTGTATCCCTTGGGCACAAGATATTCTGAATAGAAGCTTCTACAATGTTTTAAAAACTGACTCTGCTCTAGTTTGTGAAGTATGTTTTGTTTTTGTTTGTAAAAATTAGTTAAGTTGTTTTTTTTAACCTTCTTGGGGGGAAAACGGACCGGTGGGTAGAATGTTGTGTACATACAGAATAGGTGCGTTAGTCCACTTGAAAAACTTTCAATGGAATTTGACTGAATTTTATGCTTGAACTAACACAACTATGCACTTATTACAAGCAATATCATTAGATACACTGTCCTACTCAATCAGATTTAGCAAAAAAATACTTATTGTGAATTTACGGCTCACAGGTAGAATGCTAGCCAGCTACGTAGGTGGTTCGGAATTCGATCCCTAATCGATGGACTCATCCTTTACCTCGTTAAGCTAGTAATAAGACTGATGAAGAAGGAAGGTTGTAGGTGCATGAGGCTAACAACCTTATCCCGCAAAAACAAATACCATTTTTACCGAAAATTTAAAGCTCCAGCTTTAAACCCTATGTTTCACTGCGAAAGTAAAGGAATAAAAAGAAAGAGTTATATACATATATATATGCAGAAACATCACCATAAATGGGAGAAATCTGAAAGAAGCAACCTCCCTTACCTGGAAAGCATCGTTTTAACTACAGGCGGACGGAACAGATGAGGATATCAAAGTGAGGATCTGGAAAGGAAGGCAAGCTTTTATTACTCTCAACTCTGTGCGGAGATCGACAGCCCTACTCAGTATGAAAAATAAGATCCGCATTTTCAACTCCATTGTGAAGTCAGTGATGCTATACGAATCAGAGACTTAACGCCACGCCGTGTCACGAAGGGCACTTCGAAAAAACTAAAAGCCTGTATCAACAGCTGTCTTTGCTCAATAATTCGCTCAAGATCAGGTGGCTGGCTAGAAAAGATCAGCAATAAGGGTCTCAGGCAATGAGAAAACCAACTCAGCAGGAGTCAATTGTGCAACGAATATCCAAGAAGAAATGGAGATGGATTTCCGATACTCTGAGAAAACAAACCATCAAGTAAGTGACATCACACGCCAAGTCATCGCACGAGTGGAACCCGAATGGGAAGTGGCGAGTTGGTCATCATTGCGAGGGTGACATGGAGGAGGTCATGTGAAGAGGAGATGAAAGCATATGGGTAGACGTGGAGCCAGATGATGAAAACGTTGGCAGAGAACCGAACGCAATGAAGACGTGCGGCCGAAGCCCTATGTTCCTCTAGGAATTAAAGGAAATAATAATAACAGTAATAATAATAATAATGATCGCAACATCTTAAGTGGTTTGTAGGGTTTTAAAATCTTCGGTGTATAATCGAAGCCTTTGTCCTATATAGGGAGAACCTTCAATTTTCTCTCTCCCTGTTTATGCATAAATGTATATTTATGCACGAATTTTCACTAATATTTCCTATTTTAATTTTTCTAGTACGCTTTTCTTTGCTGAAGAAGGTCGCTTTTCAAGAAGTCAAGAAGTATTTCATATGTAGGTAAGTCAAATGTGATAGATGTGACATTCTTATCTGTGATCATTTTCAATCTTTAATCAAGCATTGTGTATCCGCCTTGACAAATTCCACTAAGAAGCACCTCAAGCTAACGTATGTCTTTATCAATATTTTAGGGGTCTTCATAAAGATTCTAGAGATAGCCTAGATTGATGTAGGTTGGGCTTCTTATAAATTGGCTGTATTTATTCAGTACCCAATATATTTCATGACGGTTTTCGTTACAGTGATTGAATGTAATTTCATATAGTTGTGTTTCCTGAGCTAGATAGTTTACTTGCGAAGCTTTCATTGTCCTAATCGCTAGTCAACATCTTCAGAGCATCCTTTAATTTGAAGTGACCATCTAAATTTCTGTACGAGTTTATTAGTCATCTCTTCTTGTGACCTTGAACGTGGTTGATCCCTCTTGTCCATCTTCACAACATCTAGTCTACTTGTATTGATACTGATTTTTTCCCTGAACTGAAGTTTCACCCTGTGCACATGAGATTTTCCTCTTATGGATTGGTAAATTTTCTCTGGTATTCTTGGTGTTTCTTCTGTCTAGTATTTGAAGTTTGTCCCAGTCGAATTGATGCTCATGGTTGTCTGTATGCAGCGATATTAGGGACTAGATGTCATATCTTTTGATAGCCAGTTTGTGCTCATGGATGCGAATCCGAAAAGGACGCCCACTTTCGCCAATGTAGTATTTTTCGCAGTGGTTGCAATTTATTTTGTAGATGATTTTGGTTTTGTCTCCTTTCGCTGTTGAGTGTTTTGGCTGACACACGGCAGGCCGAGTGAAGTGATTTTGTTGCCTTATGTGAGATATAAATTCCTTAATGTTTTTAATAGTCTTGCTGGGATTTCTGAGATGTCCTCCATGTGTGGTAAGATGATATTCTTCGTCCATTCCTAAGGGCCTTTTGATTTTATTGGTTGACTTGGAGGTAGATGTCTTTTGATGAAGTTTCGTGGGTATCCATTCTTTTGGAAGACGTCCAGGAGATACTTTTCTTCAGTTTTCCTCAAGGTGGGAGTGCTGCAGTGAGTTTGTATGCAAATCTTTTGTGTTGTTGGGTTGTTGCTGTTGTAATTGAGTATTTAGTCTGTATGAGTTGATTTTCTATCAGCTTGAATTTCTAATTTTTCTGTGGTTGCTCACTTGACTAAGACGTTTAAAAGTGGGATTTTGTTCTCTGCTTCCTATTCTCTTGTGAATTTGTTGTCGTTGAAGATATTGTTTATTAGGTTGTGAATTCTGTCTAACTCGTTTCGTTTGATTGTTACGAATGTGTCGAACAAAGTAACGTATCCAAACATTGTGTGATCTTTGGTGGGATTGTGTTTTCGAGGCCTTTGCATCACTGTTTCTGCACAATAAAACTTGAAAGTATTGCAATTACCTATTTCACACAAAAGGGTTTGTCAAAGAAGAGTGTGATAAATTACTAGAAAACGTATCTCGTGAAGAAATAACAGATTAGAGAAGCAAACTTGTAAGCATTGGCAGAATTTAACTATTTTAACACAGTTATAAATTAAATAGAGCCATCAGGCAAAAAATGGAGCTTCGGTGGCACAGCGGTAGAATACACACCAACCACGCAGGTGGTCTGGGGTTCGTTTCCCGATCCCCAAGGCACTTATTTACCTTGCTAAGCCAGTATTGAGACTGGTAAAGGAGGAAGGTTGGGCATGAGGCTAGCAACCCCATCCCACAAAAATAAACACCACTGCTACTGAAACTTCAAGACTGTAGCTTCAAGCCGTATGTTCCACTGGGAAGGTGAAGGAATATAAAATAAAATCTGGCAACATCGAAGATTTTTTAATTGGGGATGTATGCTTAGTTCACTCGTGAAATTAGATCCTTTTGGCGCAACTTGATAAAAAGAAACAAGACGTTTAAGGTGCTTTATGCACTACTATGATATATTGGCTGCATTTGTATGAATTATTATTGATAAATATTTTCTTTGAAAAGCACAAACATCTTGAGTTGTCGGTATTCAGACACTGAATGGAAAACTTAACTAACTGTGACGCAGCCATTTAACAATAATAATATTATGATAATAATAGTGTGACGACAGAAGACAAGGGCTAGGCTACAAATCGTTTATTCAGAAAATCATGAGATATTTATAGATTTTTATGCACATTATTATTCGTTATTGTCAGAAGAGAAACAACGTCTTCTGATTGGTTGTTTTCTTGCTGAAGGTTATTCTCTCATCTCTTTGTGGCCGTTTCTTAGACAGTCCGGTCTGCGAAACGTATCTGCCCACGTTAGATCTGCTGTGATTGGATGATGAGTCCCTCAAGGCTAGGCTTTGTTGTTGTTTTCTCTCCTAACCCCGATTCGGGACGTAAACATTGACGTAGATTGTTGTTTACAATTTTGCCTCGCAGACAGATCTCACCACAATAGTAATAATGGCTTTATTCTGAAAAAAATGCGTCTGACATAACACAGGATATTCAGTGAGTTCCAATTCAAGATGTGTGTGGCATCTTCAAATGGGAGAATAACTGACAATACATCATCTGAAGCAATATTGTTCCAACCGAAGTATGCTTGCTTCAGTGCTAGCTACTCCACAATGTTATTCCTCGATTTCCTTCGAAAATATTCCCAGTTGTAGGTAGAAAGTTGTTTGAAATGGTGCACAAGTGTTGGTTGTGACTCTTTGTGGTAATCAGAAGATTAGGACGATGTGAAATGAAGTAAAACCGATGCATTCTGATGGATAGATAACTTAGCCCGATGATTTAAGCAGGCCGCCAGGAGAGGTGTCATATGTGCAATCAGATATTCGCTTTTGTTGTTTATCTCATGCGTCTGACAGAAACTGACCCTCTTATCCTTATCACATTGTCCTTCCATGACTAAGAACCATAAAATGTCCATCAGTCAGTCAGTCACTCACCACCTCAGTATTTTTATTCCCCTCACTTGGTATCCATCAGATAACGTAAAAATATGACAAGTATAAATGAAAACTTTACACAGAATTCTACATCTGAAAGAAGCAGACACAGACAGTAGGAATAGTGGTTGTTATAGCCCACTGAATACAGAATGCAGCAAGTATTCAGCAATTATTGCTGAAACCTACGCAATTTCTCAATTTCAGTCATCAACTTCGAGCAAAGTGACTGAAACTTCACGGTTATCTGAATATATATGTATGCATATATGTATATTACTGAATGTAGAATGAAATGTGCATCAACCTGCTTATATTAAATTTTTGTTAACCGAAATTACAAAACTTCATACTACTCATTGGTTTGAAGAAACCAGAGGACACAGGTCCATTAGAGTACTCGCATGTATCATTTACAGGTAAACCGTAAAGTTTATCTCTCTAATTTAGCTGTAGCAGTAAGCACTACGTGTAAATTATTATAATAGTATGATTACCCCCTTGGGTTTCAAGTGTAACATAGGGCTTCAACAACACATCTCCACTTCGTTATATTGCATGTTGTCCTCTTCAGCTGGTTGGGCCCACAGTTGTCCATAATCTCTCATCTCCTCCTCCAACTCACACGATCTCCTCCATGTCACCGTAGGACGACCCACTCGTCGTCTCCCATTAGGATTCCACTAGTAGGGCTGACGCGCGATGTCATTCGACTACCACCTCAACATACACCCGATCCATCTTCAGTTTTTCCCACATATCTGTTGAGTCATCGGCTCTCGCCTGTTTGTTTGTTCTCAGATAGAGTTTCTTGTGTCTGATTCTTTCTGGCTCGCCGGTCGGCCATTTGATCTTCATTATGGAGTCAGGAAACACAGATGTTGATAAAAGTCTACAAACGGCTGTTGAAAATGCTTTCCGTGATGCGTATAGAAGGACCGACTTGACATTGATGGTTTCAGGTTGATGAGGGTGTAACTTGCCTTTTTGATTCTGACTTTGACATGTTCATCCCCCCTGTCAACTGTGGTTGCAACGATGATGGCTGCCTAGACAAGTGAAGGAAGTAACCTATGTCAAATCTCTTCCTTCGATGGTGGTTGGTCCTAGTTGCTGTTGTTGCTTGGTTATCTTCATCACCTCCGTCTTCTGTTTGTCTACGTGGAGTCCTGTCTTCTCTGCCTGCAATTTCTGATAGTTTGTTGATTTTCGCCTGCTGACCTACAAATCCTCGAGTTTTTGAGACACAGAAGCATAAACCATCCAGGCGTGAAATGTAGTTCCTCTAGAGCCTTCTAATTGGTCAGTTCAGATTATTCGTGTATTCTCACTACCCACAATGTGCCTCATAATCTAGTTGAACACAGTTAAGAATATCATCGGTGATAATAGTCAGGCAACCAGCCTTATTTTACTTCCATCTTCACTTCAAAGGCTTCTTCACTGAGTTTTCCACTGTGGATGACCTAAAGCGTGGCACTGTCATATAGCCAGGTGTTGAATGAGGTTGATAAGGATTTTGGCACTGCACACCATAGTATTGAAGTAGTTTCCGAATCACTTCTCGGTCAGTGCTGTCTGTCGAAGGCATTTTCGAAGTCAATGAAGTTAAGACTCAGGTCTAACTGCTATTCTACGTATAAATACGCATTACATTCAAAAGAAGAATGCGTGATTACAAACCAAAAGCCAAGACGTTTAGCTGAAGACATACAGAAACTTTTAACTTCTCAGCTTAAATATTTTCACAACACACCTGTCATCTATCCAAACAAAACACAATTTGCAAATATAGTCTTTGGTACAAAAAAATACAACTTCTTGTCCGAAATAACTGGTCGAAATTACATTAGTATGGAACATGAATTTTAAAGTTCAGGAAACTTTTATGGTGAAATGTAGTTTTACAAGAAGAATATGTTGAGAAAGAAGTTTCTTAAGAAATTAACTTCTGTGGCACGGAGAGTTTGTCTCTCCGCTATATATTACAACTGCGGGGGTATTTAAAATTTCCATGGATT